AGGCTGACCAGTCCGGACACCCGTGCTAATAACGTACGGGCAGCGAGCAGTACTCAGCGACCCTCTACTCTGAGTGTACCACTCACGAAGCTGCTGGGGCGAACGAGTCTCGCACGGACGACGCTGCTGCTGCACCGGGCCACTACAAGAAACTCCCGAACTACCCACCCCAGGACGACTCCCACTACTGCCACCCCGACAACCCCAACCGGCATACCACTCACGAAGCTGCTGGGGCGTGAGGGACACACACGGACGGCCCTGGAGCTGCATCTGGCCACGCCAGAAGTAGCAGTAGAAGCAACAGCAGTAGCAGCACGGTCAGGGCAGTGCTCACCAGTGGTGGGAAGGGCAGGCGCACGACGGAGGCGACCGCGGGGCTGGTACAGCGGCAGGAAGCTCCGCGGCAGTTGCTGCAGGGCGAGACCGGGCCGCGACGGCAGCTGGTGCAGGGCAGGGACAGGACCGCGACGGTCGCTGTTGCAGGGGCGGCTGCTCCAGGGGCCAGGGGCGGCTGCTGCAGTGGCGGCTGCTCCAGGGGCGGCTGCTCCAGGGGCGGCTGCTGCAGGGGCGGCTGCTCCAGGGGCCAGGGGCGGCTCCTGCAGTAGCGGCTGCTCCAGGGGCGGCTGCTCCAGGGGCGGCTGCTGCAGGGGCGGCTGCTGCAGGGGCGGCTACTCCAGATGCCAGGGGCGGCTGCTTGCAGGGGCTGCTGCTCCAGGGGCGGCCGCTCCAGGGGCCAGGCGCGGGGTAGGTCAGGGGCGACGCGGCGGGCAGGGACGACGCGGCGGGCAGGGCGACGCGGTGGGCAGGGGCGACGCGGCGGGCAGGGGCGACGCCGCGGGCAGGGGCGACGCGGCGGGCCCTGCAGGGGCGTCGCGACGAGCAGGGGGCGACGCCCGGGTCCCGCTGGGGCGGCGCGACGCGCAGGAGCCGCGCCTTGCGGGTCCCGTAGGGGCGACGCGAAGAGGCAGGGGCGACGTGCGGGTCCCGGCGAGGTGTCGCGACGAGGCAGGGGGCGACGCGCGGGTCCCGCAAAGGCGTCGCGAAGAGGCAGGGGGCGACGCGCGCGGGTCCCGGCGGGCTGCAGTCGCCGGCGTGCAGCAGCCGCGGGCGGCGTATGGGCTGCCTACGGGCGGCAGCGGCCTACGGGCAGCGCACGAGCGGCCTACGGGCTGCAGCAGCCTACTGGCGGCCTACGGGCGGCAGCAGCCTACGGGCGGCCTACGGGCGGCGTACGGGCTGCCTACGGGCGGCAGCAGCCTACGGGCGGCGTACTTGCTGCCTACGGGCGGCAGCGGCGTACGGGCGGCCTACGGGCGGCTTAAGGGCGGCCTACGGGCGACGGCGGGCGACGGGTAGCCTACGGGCGGCGGCCTACGTGTAGGCAGGTCGCGGGCAGCTCGAGGGGCCGCGCGAGGCCGGTACGAACTGCGTGGGCGGCTAGCGGGCTGCGCGCGCACGGGCAGAGGACGGCGGGGCGCGCGAGGGCGCACTAGCAGAAAGAAGGCGCACGAGGGCGCACAAGCAGAGAACGGCGCACGAGGGCGCACGAAAGGTAGGGCGCACGAGGGCGCGACTAGCGGAATAGTGGGCCCGTAGTAGTAAGCGGTCCTAGGTGGCTAACCTAGGCTCGTGATACCATGTCATAATCAACAAGAGTGATTGAACTAGCAAAGAGTTGGGTACAAGTAGGAAACCCTAAACTTACTGTACCCCATAGTAACTACCCCACTACAGCCTAAACAAACTGTAGCAGATATAACATTTGACACATAGCACGAAATTTGACGTGCAGCATGATTAGCCGTACTGCCAGAGACTAGGGCTTTATGCCAGGGAGATACGGTATAAGAGCACTTGGCATCCAAGTCCCGACACGAACAAACTCAGCTGAGAAATGCAAACGCATGATAGATGCTGAAAGATTCTGGCAAGCACCATGCATTAGATGAGAGAGCAAGCAATATCTGTGTTCACTGACTGATGCAGTACTGAAGTGCTGCAAATGAGAATGGCATGACAGCCAGCCAAGATGGGTGCTGGACCGGCTGACTTCCACCGCCCCCTCACTCTCCCCCCCACAATGGCACGCGCGGCAGTGAGCGAGAGGGGAGGAGGGGCGGCTGCTGGCTCGGCAGAATCTCTCTCGCCACCCCCTCACACTCCCCCCCTCCCCCCACAGCGATAGGTGCTGGAGGGAGAGAGAGGAGAGAGGAGGGCGGCGGCTGGTTCCTTCTGGTGTACTCCCGCCACCACCTCATCTCCAACCCCCCTCCCACGTCGGAAGTCGCGGAAGGGAGGGCGGCGACACACGCTGCTGCTGCTGCTCCCGCTCTGGCGTGGGGTGGGCGCTGCTGCTGGTCGCGCTGGCGTGCGCTGGCGGGCTGCGCAATGGCGCACGCGCTGGCGCTGGCGCTCGCGCTGGTGTACTGCGCTGGCGTAATGGCGGCCGCTGGAGCGACGCGCTGACGCACGGGCGGGCCGCTGGCAAACGCGCGGGCGAGCTCGAAAGCGGGCTGGTGGGCGCTTCGGATCAGCAGCAGAGGCGCACCGAACGGGGCCGTAATTAGCGCGACCAGCGGGGCGTGACGCGGCCGTACTGAGGCCGCAGCTAGCGCCATCGCGCAGCTCGCCGTCATGGGCAGCAGCGTGACGGGCAGCACGACGTAGGGCGCGACGCAGGGCTGCATGAGTGAAATAAGATAGGCCTAGGCGAACCAGGCTCTGATACTATATTAGAAGACTAAGAACCTAGGAACTAGGTTTAGGCTTAGGAGCAAGGATCATGGCGAGAGAAACGAGAGTAGCAGGAACGAGAGAGATGCCAAAAGAGGTTGTTCATTATAGAGCAAACAGTACAAATAGGCAAGCAAAAGCAAGAATGGTGCACCACCAACTAGAAACGCTATAACTACAGTAACCAATCCTACAGACTGTTACATATAGAAAATATAAACTTATATTTTCCGACAGAATCAACAAGCCAAGATATTTATTGAGACAAGTCGTTGGCCTGGCACTTCCTGTTAGAATAGTAGATTAAGTGAACACTAGGGTTTGGGGTAGGAGGAGACTTGAGAGAGACAAATGTCGAGAGAGTTTAGCCAAAGAGGAAGAATTCACTATTGAGCGAGGTACAAGTAGTAAACAAAGCATGCAAAGAAGGTGCACCACCAACAGTTTATAATAACTACACTAACTACAGCTACAGGCAGTTACAGATATATTCTAACACTCCCCCATAACTGCCTGCAGCAGGAGTTTGTGCAGCAACACATCCTGCATGGGTACACCACGAACAGAGAAAACAGCATCAGCAGGCAAGACCAGTGGCAACCGGTGCAGTGGTGGCAGATTCAGCTACACCAACCCCTCAGCCAAGGTAGAAGCAACAGACAAAGGTGCATGTGGCGGCAGGTCGCCTGGAAAGCGTGTGCGTGCGGCGGCACCGTGCGGCGGCACAGCAGGGCTCAACGGCAGCACCTGCCGCTCAACAGCAGAAGACAGCAGAAGAAACAGCAGGTGGAGGCAGGGGCGGCAGCAGGAGGTGCCACGGTAGCAGCGGGCGGCAGCTGCAGATGCCTAGCTGACTTCCGCTACCGTCTCACCCTCCCCCCCACGGCAGCACACGCGGCAGTGAGAGAGAGAGGAGGAGGGGCGGCTGCTGGCTTGGCAGAATCTCTCTCTCCACTCCCTCACAATCTCCCCCATTCCCCTCACCCTCCCCCCGCAACCTCTTCCCCCCCTCACGGCGGGCCCCGCTGAAGGGAGGGGAAGGACGGGCTGCAGGCAAACACCCGCCACCCCCACATCCCCCCCCCCCCCCCACGGCGGAAGCTGCGGAAGGGAAGAGTGGGGCGCCGTTAGCTGCTGCTGGCGCTGGCGTCGTCGCTGGCGCTCGCGCAGGTGCTGGCGACGGGCGCTGGTGCTGGCGCACACGACCGTGCGCGGGTGCACACGGTCGTACGAAGCTGCGCGCAGCAATGCGCGGCCGTACGCAGCTGCGCGCGGCTGCTGCTGTGTTCGTGACAGAACGGGGCAGGGCAGGCGATGCGCGCGACGAGCAGGGCGCAACGGGCGCGACGGGGAGACGAAACGAGACCGCATCTGACGCCGTCGCGCAGCTAGCTTTGAGACCGTTTTGACGGTCGCGACCGTTGCAACCGTCGTAACTACGGCCGCGACGGGGGGCGTGACGAGCGCCATGAGCGGGGGGATACGTGGTGGGCCCATGGGGGAAAAAAAATAGGTCTTAGGACGACCTAGCTCTTAATACCATGTTAGAATAGTAGATTAAGTGAACACTAGGGTTTGGGGTAGGAGGAGACTTGAGAGAGACATGTGTCGAGAGAGTTTAGCCAAAGAGGAAGAATTCACTATTGAGCGAGGTACAAGTAGTAAACAAAGCATGCAAAGAAGGTGCACCACCAACAGTTTATAATAACTACACTAACTACAGCTACAGGCAGTTACAGATATATTCCAACACTTGCATTTACAACAATGCGCATATTTGTTGTCTTCCAGTCATATTAGTGGATGGGCGGTAACACTCTGGCTTTCTGCGCGTGACAGAAGTTAGTAGCCGCACCCGAGATACGAGTCAGGACGGGAATGGCGGCAGCGACTTGCCAAACTGCGCAGCAGGCGGTTGCTTCACAAGCAGCCCAGGATGGTTGCGGAGCAACGGTTTGTCATCACTGTCGTCATCACCGTTGTGGTTGTCTCTGCTGTGGTCATCCCTATCAGTTGTCACCACATGCCATCTTGTGACCATGGACAGTTGTCCAGCACCAGAATCTCCGCGTCTTGCCCTCTGCAGACACACACAACAGAAGCAGCAGCAGCAGTGCAGCGGACAGGCGAAAAGAGTGAGCAGCAAACAAGGGATGAGACCACGGCAGCAGCACAGCACACAGCTCCTGCCACACAGGCTTGAGCAACTTGCAAATCGACACAATCACAACCACCCCTCCCCCCCCACAACCCCCGCACGTGACTCACAGAGCATGGGTGCGAATGAGTAGGTCCGCCTCTCTGCGCCGGGGCACCCCCTCCTGTTGTTCCATGCGCCTGCTCGGTTGTGTCTTGCCTCGCCGCAACACCCGCCCGCTGCCTGCTTCCCCTCTGCCGCTCCCCTCGCTTCTCCTGCCGCCCCCCCTCATTGCTGGTACCACTGCCTGCTGCCGTGCCCTCATCCCCCTCTCCTGCCTTGTATCAGTCCGTGAGCGTCGCATGGGAGGTGGAGCGGAAACCAATCCCACATCTTGTTTCACACACACACCCATCTGCTCCATCTGCTCCTGCTGCTTCCTTGCCCGTCTCTCCTGCCTCGTGTCAGTCCGTGACCGTCGCATGGGTGGTGCCGCTGCTTCCACCATTTCCACATCTTGTTTCACACACACACCCATCTGCTCCCTCTGCTCACTCGCCCGCCTCTCCTGCCGCGTGTCTGTCCGGGACCGTCGCATGGGAGGAGGTACAGGTGCTGGTGATGTGACTGCATGCTCTCTCCCTCCCTGAATCACCCTCATCCGCTCCCTCCCTCTTGCATCCGGCATCGCTTCTGGACTCAACCCCATTCCCATGCTCAAGCTCCTTCCCATGCCTCCTCCACCCCCCACACTAGGCCCAATGCTCACCACCCCTCTTTCCAACTCCAAACACATCTCCACCCCATCCAATCCCATCCCCACCCCACCAGCACCCATTCCAACCGCTTTCTCACAAAGCTCCTCCAGCCTCCTCGACTCCCCCCTTCCAGGCATCTTCACCATCCAAGCCCCCCCCTCCTCCCACTCGCCCTCCCTCACTCGCACCTCCCTCACTCCCCTCTCACCAGCCACTGCCAACATCTCTACCTCCTCCTCCTCCTCCCTCCTCCTCCTCTCCCTCTCCAGCTGCTGCTCCAGCTCCCTTAGACTCGCCTCCTCCTTCTGAGCTGCCACGTCAGCGTGGTGCCGGTAGCTGCTGAAGGGCGGGTGGTATACCACCGCGCTCGCTTTGAGGCCCACTGCACCCTTCCTTCCTCCTACCCCTGCCGCTTTTGCTGCTCCTTCCAAACCTGCTCTACCAGCAGTGCCATCGGCAGTAGCAGTGGCAGCAGCACCAGCGACAGCAGAAGCGGCACTAGCACTACCAGTGACGCCACCGCCGTTGGCAGCAACTGCAGCAGCGGCGGCAGCAGCGGCGGCAGCAGCTGGGCAGCGGGTGCTGAATCGCTTCCCACCAGCCAGCAAGATGGGCTGCGGGTGCAGGAGCGCGGGGGCAGCGGAGTTGGCACGACTCAGAGGCCTAGGCTTGGCCGCGGCTGAAGCTGAGAAAGAGAGCGAGAGCAAGGGGCGAGGGACGAGGGACGGGGGTGAAGGGAGAGGGACGAGGGACGCTGGTGGAGGCGACAAAGGGAGCGGGGGAGAGGGGCGAGAGGTGGTGGAGGAGGGCGAGGCGCGGCTGTGGGTGCTGCTGCTGCTGCTGCCAGCCGTGACCACGCTAGTCTTTATGTTGCCTCCATGGTGGTAGGTCACGCTATGGGCTATGTGCTTGGGCTGGGCAGCACAGCCGTTCTGCCTGCCCAACTCATTGCCGACGCCACTGCTGGTGCCTCCTCCTCCCCCGCTGCTGCCAGTGCTGCTGCTCTTGTGGAATACCACCGCTGGTCGTCCGCACTCCTCCCGCGCTCCCGTGCCATCCTTGCCTGCTCTTGCAGTCAACTCAGCCTGCCTCTCACTCTGCCGTTGACTCGCCTCAGCCGCAGCAAGCGAAGCCGCGGCGGACTGCTGCCTTCTCAGCCCGGGGGACGGCGGTAGCCGCGGGGAGGGCGGGAGGCGCGGGGACGGCGGAAGGCGCGGCGAGGGCGGGAGGCGGGATGATGACGATGCTGACGTGCTCGAGAGGAGAGCCGGCGGTGATATCAAGTGCGAGGTGCGGCTTTCCGTGCGTGCCACGTCGTCAGGGCTCTGAGGAGTGGGTGGGGGTCCCACCGGTCGCGACCGGCTCCCCTTACTCACCCCACTGCCCACTCCGCTGCATGTGCTCTTCCGCCTGCCTCCCTGCCCGCTGCTGGCGCTCTTATCAGCGCTCCTATCGTCGCTCCTATCGGCGCTCTTATCAGCCCCACCGAATCGCCACCATGCCGACACGTGTGGGCTCTTCCCCGCCACTGCTGACGTCACCACCGCGTCATCCCCCTGGCATTCCCTGTCGCCTCCCTCCGTCTCATGGCTATCAGGCCCAGCTTCTGTGGCGGCCGCGGGTGCTGCTGTGGCAGGGCGGTAGGCGCTAGAAGGCGCAGCTGCTGCTGTGGGGGCAGCGGTTGCGGGCACGGGGAGGTACTCGGAGGCAGTCGCACCTGCACTGCCACTTGCTGCTCCGGCGTCTGCGTGTGCTGCAGGTGCAGAGGGTACGGGGAGGTACTCGTTGGGATCAAATGCGCGTACGCGGTTGCTCCCCCGCACGCCCTCGCAGCGCAGCAGCACAGGTCGCTCACTTTCCCTGCTGCTGCTGTCGCTATCCCTGCCGTCGCTATCCCTGTCGTCGCCTCTCCTGTCCGCCTGCGCGCCGAAAGCCTGCACTGCAGCGCGCGCGACGGCGGCCCTGCTGGCTTGGCGGATGGCATGGGGCGGCGCAGTGGAAGGGACTGCTGCACCTGCGGGGGGGGATGGGGTTGCATAGGAGCATCCGCGCTCCCTCCCCCGTTCTCCCTTTCCGCCGCGCTCGCCACTGTCTGACTCAGAAGCCGATGCACCCGCGAGCACGACCCGTCCCTCGTCCACCAGCAACACACCCTCCTCCGCCTCTTCATACCAATCCCCGTCCCTCCTCACCACTCCCAACTCCTCCCCATCCACTCCCAAGTCTGTTACTAGTCCTTCGTCTCGCCCCTGCCGCGCTCTTCGCCCCTCACTGCCGCTGCTCCCCCCAACGCCCCACGCGTCTTCGCCGCGGCCGCTCGTGGCGGCGGACAGCGCGGCACTGCTTTCATCCTCGCTATGGTGCTCTTCGATATCCGCGTCCAGGTCCCACCGGTCAATTGCCGCCTCCCCTTCGCTGCTTGTATCGTGCCAGCTGTTGTCTCCCTCGTCACAGCCCCCGTACGCGTTACAAGCGCGCCCGCTAGCTCTTAACGAGTCGTCATCATCATCGTCGCGCAACCCCCAGCTACCGTCGCCGCCGCCGCTGCCGTTCTCCCGTTCGTGCTGCTCCCCTCCCAAGCCGCCAACTCCCCTTCCCTCTCTCGTAAGTTGCCGTTCCTTCTGACTCGAAACATGGATCGCGCGTCTTTCCTTCTCAGTAGCCTCAAGGCTCGCCCGCCTTTCCTTCTCCGCCAGATATTTCTCCATCTCCCTCCTCCACTCGTCCACGTCAGCAATGTCGCTATGCGTGTCGCTTCGATCCAGCGACTGCTGCTGCCAGCCCTGCGCCTTTCCTCTTGCACCCTCCGCCGATCCTTCCGCCGACCCTTCCGCCAATCCTTCCGAGCCATCCGCCCCCCACAACCCACCACTGCCGCTCTCTGCTGCGCCTGCTGTTCTCGCGCGCGGCAACCCACGGCATCCCTGATCCCCGCTGCCTTCCCCCGCGGGCGCGCGCACCAGCTCGTACACGAACACGCTCCGCCTGCCCTTCCCCCGCCGCTGCTTCTTGCGGAACACGCCGCCTCTGGCCCGCCCCGAATCCGCGGGCGGCCTTCCCGCTTTCACTATTAACACGTCCCGCGCGCTCCGCTCGCCGCCACCGCCTTCGCTGCGCGCCGATGGGTACAGCGTCGTCCGCGTCGGCGCCGCATTATCGCCCGCGTCGTCGCCTGGCGCGGCGCGACACGTGTCAATCGCCGCCGTGTGTCCAGTCGCTGTCACCACCGTCACATCATTAGAATGCTTGCCGGTCTGGCTTGCGCCTGCCGCGCCTTCCCCTCGTTCCGCCGCTTCCGCCAAGCCTTCCGCACCTTCTGCTTCCGCTTCGTCCGCTCCGCCAGCTCCTGCTACTCCCGCCGCGGCGTCCCAAAACCAGCGCGCAATCCCCATGGGCGCGGTGCGCGGCCTCGATTTTGCACGGCTGCGCGACGGGAGCGGTTGATCCGCGCGGGTGCGGTGAGGCGGCGGCACGTGGTTACCCTGTAATTCGGAATTCGCTAACGCGACATCGTCTGAGTTAAAAACCACAGTTTAACGGCTCCCCAGCGGGGTCTGGGATAACCAGGGACGGACGCGCGCGCAGCGGCGTGCGACTTTTTGCGAAACTGGCGACGGCGACAGTCGCGGCGACTTCTGTCATCTTAGCAGCTATCGGATTCGCCCGCACCGCCTCTGCTCGCGCCGACGCTGCTCGCTCCGACTCCGTGCCCACGGCTTCTTGGTTCTCGTCCGCGCTGTCCCCGCACCCGGCGCCATTAATTATGCGCTTTGATTTGTTGCGGTTCGTGCTTCCCGCGTGAGCAGCGCGGCTCTCGGTCCCGCTACTAGAGAAATACCGCCGAGCGACGTCGTTGCTAGTTGGCGATGGCACTATAACGGGGGGAACGGAGACGGGGGGCGGAGCAAGTTCGTGATGCGGGTGCTTGTCGTTCCGCCTCGCCTGAGCACATTCCGACGCCCAGATGGACGAGTCGTGCGACCCGTAGCCGCGCCGACCGTCGCACGAGGCGTCGTTGGCTCGTCGCTCGACGTGTCGCACGGGGCGTCGCAGGTATTCGTTACGGGAACCGCCGTCGCTGGTGGGCGAGCAGCAGACGGGGAATGGTTCGACGCACGCGGCTGCGGGGCTTGTGAGCGGCCGCGAGAAGATCGGCAGGGACGAGAGGGAGGGGATTTTTGGTACGGTCCGCGTAGTTGGCGTTGCTTGCGAAAAGCTTTCGTCGAGAGATACATCGTCGCCAAAATCGATGAAATCGCCGGCGAAGTTGTGCGGAGAGAAGCAGGCCAGCGGCGAAAACATGGTAACGACGGTTTCGTGCGAAACGTAGCCGTAGGCGTGCTGGTTTGACGAATCGAAGCGAAACGAGGAGTCTGTCAAGGTGTTTGGTCCGTCAGGGACGAGAGTGTCACACTAGCGCAGCAGGCATCGAAGCAATGCCTTATCTCGGAGGTGACGGGTCCACTAACAGCCTTATCTCACTCGCCGGCGGACGATGAGAAAGTCTGAGTATAAGCACTGACGGAAACGACAGCTGGAAATGGAAGGGCAACCGTGATTTGCGGTGTGGTGAGTGTCCTTGTTTGCGTATCGCCTCCACCTCCGTCTCCGCCTTGGTTCCACCTTGGCCTCGTCGTGACGACGACAACTACCCCTTGTGGGATCTCTATGATTGCTCGTCCTAACTCGCTGTGAGTCGTGACCACTCATCGCGTACGTTCGCGAGTTCTATTGACGGGTACAGACGCGAACTCCGTACGTTGCCCACAACAGTCGTCAGCCGGGTGGCCCTCGCGGACCGTGCAGATAATTCCAAAAAAGGACACGGCAATGAGGAAAATATTTTTGAGATGAGCCAATGGGATTAAGGACCACGCGACGTGGATCAGGGCTTCAGCCTTCTAGAGTGCATGTTCGAGTTGTCTGTCTCGTTGGGACGAGTGGGGTGCGTCGGACAAATGATTGTGGGATGGACACTTTGATTCCATATCTGACGCTGATGGCAAAGGGAGGAAAAAACATTTGGGTGTCTGGGATTTGCGCACGGTTTGAAACTTTTCACCGCGGCTAGTCTCGGTGCAGTGGCATATTCTGTTTGATTCGGAAGTGGTGGGCTGTGGAAGAGGGAGAGCAGGGAGAAGAGCGCTAGATGCAGAGAGCCCAATTGACAGAAACTTCTGGGGTTAGTGTGGGAGCAGCTATTCCAAGTTACAGTGATGTACAGTACTTCTTGAAAGGCGCCTTTTCATAAACCTGGTGAATGGTCCCACTCCCTCAACGGCAAGGTTCCCCTGGCCTAAATTGTTTTGATGTTCTTTTCAATCCGTTCCGCATCAGATCCTCGGAGGGCGTGTACATGTAGATTTTCCAGGTGAAATATTTCCACTCTGTGCATGGGGTGCCTAGTGCCCCCCACCGATTGCTGGTGGTGCACACGGGACCACCGCACGTCAGCATTGGATTGGCAGTCCCTCCCTTTCCTCCGGCCCATCACCCTCTGCCAGCAACCAGCAATCAGCGCAAGGAACGGGGAGTGCCCACCAGCCAGGCTGGAACGCGCAGTCCAACTGTGAGGATTTCCTCAACGTCCAGCTGTATCGCAGTGGCAGCATTGTAGATTTCGCTTAGCTTGGCTCGCACACAGCAAGGGCGGTGCCAAGCATTAGGGCGTGGAACCGGTTGCAGAGTTGCGCAACTCAGAATGGTTGTTACAGTATCGCAAAACGAATAGTTCGTTAACCCATCTACATTTACACGTCACCGGTCGCATTGATCACCACGAAACTGCAACCGGGTCTCGAAACACGAGCACAATACCGTCACTGGGTTGCGCTTCCCACCTCAGGGCCCAACTAACTGGCCTGCGCATCCCAACCCCGACGAGACAAGGGTGCCAGTTGCAAATTCATGAGTCGCAAAAGCGGTGCTACTGGGTTGTTGGCGTTGACTGCTAGGATCTTCAATCTCATTTGTTTAAAACCAGTTCAATTTCCAAAACAGATCATGTGCTGCGTAACTTCGCTGAAACCACAAATCCGCAACTGGTTCCACGCCCATATTCTGGTCGAACCGAAAAAATCGTTATGGAATATTTCGCAAGTGTGGAAGGTCAATTCAAGTGCAGCCTTGTAATACCAAATATTTGTTTAGCTATAAATAAACCGCTTAGAACCACTAATGTTACAAGATAGCAATGTATTTTTCAAAGTAGTATCAGATAAGCCTTATATGTATTATATATGGGTGATTTAAAACACCAGACATTTATTCATTCGATGCAGGGCCAATATCAGCCTTTTTACGCAGATTCACAGAAAAATCAGACCCTGTGTGTGTACCTTGCAGACCCTTATTTATCAGCCTAAAACCCGCTGATTACGCCGAATCTACAGGTGGTTTTTTCACTTTGCCTGAAAATTCAGTAAACCTTTATAATTAGCTATGTTATATCGGTTTAAACATGCCAGTTCACTCTGACAATTCAGTGTTGCGGTGTACTAGCAACACTAATGAGTCAGTATATTATTGGGGACAACACTGATCCACACTTGACCGATTTTTTTTTTTTTTGGGGGGGGGGGGGGGGGGGGGGAGGACGGGGGTGGGAGGGGGGGGAGGGGGGGGGAGGGTATAGTGCAGGGAGCGTGAGTATTGCTAACAGTTCGCGGTTCGTTCGACAATCCTGCTCCTGCAGCACATGCCTAGGAAACTCTGGGTGTTGTATTGAACAAGGGTGCGCGCTGATGTGATTTGCAAAACTGTAACGCCCACAGTGAGTCAGACATCCGTTGTGGGTAAAACTGCCCAATGGGAGCAGTAATTTCACATGTCATAAAGAGGGGAAACGCGTCATCACGGCAAAAGTTGATACTCCCTATGCACGTGTTCTAGCCCAGAAACACAGCCATGAGGGGCAAGGACCACCATTCATCTCCCCGCGGCGCGAGAGAAGTGACCCCCTTCTGCTCAAGCGGTTTCTTCGAGCTCATCCACACCACCTCATGAAAGCTCGGCAGGCTCTGTCTCTCCCTCCGTTGGTACTCTGAGTCTGAACTCTAAGAGCTATCGCAACAATCCAGCGCTATATGCGGCCATGGCCCAGCCGTCTAGGGCTGGCATGAGCTCAAGCCCGGCATGGCCAACACTGTCCAACTGCCCAACTGCCCGTATTGGCCTATATTTTCTACAGCGACCCACTCCAGCTCTGACACCAGTGTCTTCGACCGTCCCCCCCACCGTAATGCTTGACTCCTCAAGCCCCCAGCCACTTTTGATACCCACACCAGGAGAATGTTCCTATCATGTCACTGCCGGCTCAACATGTGTAGGCCCGCGTCGCAAGGAGGGAATCAAGCTCCAGTACCGACAATCCAAGATCCAGATTGGTGTCAGAATCTAGCCACTAACCACTGGGATAAAATGGCTTGTTTGTGTAGCGGGTGAGTGCGCCCATAATCCCCCAGGCCAACGTGCCTGTAACTCTTCCCTAGGATCAGTTCGAGATCTTTAGTGGACCTCTGACACCCCCCCGCACTAGGATGCCCTAGGTGCACTTCTGAGATTCGAACCCAATACCTTCGCTCTTATACCATGTCAGAATCCCAGCCACTGTCACAGGTTCGAATTTCCACTCGAGAATGTTGCACTAAAGGTGAGCACAAGGCGTCTTTATACTCAGAAATACATAGACACAAAAGATAATCCGAGCGCGCTCTTCTAGAATAGTTAATCACTCGTGCGCATAAGCACGCAAGCCCATTAGCACTTCGGATTATGGCAAGATTACGCCTTGTACACCACCGTCGGTGCTGTTGGTGCCGTATAATGTAAATGTCGGTGCCGAAAATACAGAATACAAGAATTAATCGGAAAGCTCTAGAAAATTGAATAGTAGTCTGATTGAGGTGAAATAAAGTGCAGACGAAAGAGGAAAATAAGGAGAATAGGATAGAGTAAAAATATGGAAATGAGAAATATGTCGAACGTCGGCGTGCTCTCACACTTCTCCCCCTCAAAGCTGGGTGGTAGATGTAACACCCTGCTTGACAAGATAGTCGCAGAGAGAATCTCGGGCGTTACTCATGTCTTCTTCAGAGACCCAGCTGTCCTCAGAAGGATCATAGCCCTTCCAGCGTATGAGAAACTCCAGGGCGCCATGCCGACGACGACGATGTGCAAGCACAGATTCGACCTCGTACCCAGGTTCATCATTCACGAGGACTGGAGGCGGCGGCGGAGGTTGGCATCCCGTGTACAGCTAATTTGGGTCCAGATAGGGTTTAAGAAGCTGCAAGTGGAAGGCGTTATGAATATTTCAAGTAGCTGGTAGGCACAAGCGGAATGTGAGTGGAGTGACCTGCTCTTCTACGAGGAAAGGTCCGCAAAAGCGAGG